TAACAAAAAAATAAAGATAAACTTATAATACTCATCAATTTTGCAAAGAAACATAAGATATCCCAAAATGTTTATATTAAACTCAATAAAATCGTAATCGTATTCTAACGAATCTAATAGTTGGAACTCAAAATGCAATGTAAGGTAACATTCGAACCTTTTTTGAGTCTTTGCAACGAGTATTAGAGTGTCGAAAAGTGTCGGACACGACACGTTAGGATTTTTGTAGTGTCGGTGCTTCATAGGATATTGGTAGTGGATGGAAGTTAGGAGAGAATGGTTGAATAAGATGCTTCATGTAATGGGAATAGGAAGTGGGAACCACCTAAGTGGTCCATAACATGTTGATTGTTTGATATTTCATAATAATATTTATTCTAATATGAAATAGTATTTAAGATAATTGAAGATTACATAAAGATTGGCGAAGATATGGAAGATATCAAGAAGAGAGAGAAAATCATGGAATCAAGTAAAGTTTAGGATATATTTTATCTTTTTAGATTTCATGTAAGAGAAATAAAATATTATTTGTCAAAGATTTAAACTAAATTGCATTGCATAATAAAATAAGATATTTAAATTTTACATATTTTTTATTTGAAAAAAATCAGAAATCTTATTTTTGAAAATTGCATTTCAAATTTTATTTAAGGGTAAAATATTTCTGGTTAGTTTTTGAAAAAGATTTCAAATTTCAAAATTATCTTTTGGGCTTCTATGAGAGAGAAAGTGTTATTACTTTTTTTTTGGAGTTACCCAACCCTAATTATCTCTTTGAGACGAGTTGGCTCCCTCCGGTATCCCCACGAGCTTCGACTCTTTGAGCCGGCTATGGGACTAATCCGGAGTGCGGGGGAACAGTGATGGCTAAAGGTTCAGCCCCCTCCCCAAGAATGCATTCAGCGGGAATCGAGAAAGTGTTATTATTATATATAGTGTTCATTGCATATTATTCAAAATAAAGAAGAAAATTCAAAAGAGAGAGAAAAGAGACGAAGATATAAGAGAGAAAAGAGAGAATTAGATTTTCAAGATTAAAATTCTTTCTATTGCATCAATTGAAGAGTTTTCTCAAGAACAATCATTCATACATTCATCTTTTGAAAAAGTGAATATTTCTCCATAAGAATTCAGATTACCTATCTTGAAATCATTTTGAATATCTAAAGAAGCACTGAGGTAAATCATTATAATTGTAAAAAATTTCTTGATCTTTTTGAAGGTCTGTATTGGAAAATCATCTTGAAATCTTTATTATTTGGAAACTAAGAATGACATGAGAACCCTTGTGTGATAGGATTAAAAATATAAAATTCGAAAAATATATATGTGTAACCATTATAAAAAATATAAAAATTGTAAATTAAAATATTCAAAAAATATGTATAATCAATACAAAATAATTTAAATAAGAAAAAAGACATCTATTATTTTGTAAAAATAAATTATAAAAATGGATAATTATTCGCGATCGGTGACCATCTAACTCCTACATAGTAAAAAGTTATTTCCCATTAAGTATTTTATAGATTATTTTACTGTTTCCCACTATTTTTTGCGTGGCAAATTTTAAGCCTATTAATAATATTTATTATTATATTTATTGGATGAGAAAATATTTAATATTTAATATTTAATATTTAATATTTAAACTTTTTAAATTTCAATTTTGTCCTTTAAGGCCGAGAAAATAGTTCAACATTTAAAGTTTCTTCGGTGGAAAAAAATATATATATAATAAATTTAAATAAATATAAAATTATAGATTAAACAAAAAAATATTTATAAAAATATATGTATAGTTGATAAAAGATGATTTAAATTTGAAATTTAAATGCAAAAAAATAAGAAATGACATATTTATACTTTAAAAGAAAATAAATTAAAATTTTAATTTAAAAAATAATACAAAAAGAGAACATTTTTTGTACAAGTATTTTTTTAAAAAACATATTTAACATAAATGTTTTAAATATATGTGAATAATCAATTTAATAAAATATAAAAATTATAAATAAGTATAACCAAAGAATTGAATATATATACTTATAACCAAAGTAAAATTACACTTATAATTATATTTAATTTTTTAAATTACATGTTACTTTAAATTATAAATAAGGCATAACTTATTATTTTTAAGGGTTCACTTTTTCTACAATAACTGGATAACTTATTTGCATTAAGAAAAAAATGACGTTATTTTGGGCAAGAATTAAGGTATTTTTGTAATTTTAATTTATTTCAATGTTATAATCATCTTTATCATTATAACTTTTTAATCTTTCAACTGAGAGCAATGTTGTTTTGGCCCTTTTGGGAGCGAATACAGATAACTTATCTGCAATCACTGTAGAAATATTTTTCTATATTTTTAAATATAAAAATCTATTATATGTTGTTACTTAATGTTGACAGTTAGAGTTGGTAAATTGGTATCGACCCATCCCGCCCGCCAACATATTTTTATTCTTCTTATATTTACTATCTAACAATCTCGTCTTTGTATAGCTAAGTGTTTATTAGAATATTAAACGTAATAACTCAAATATTTGTCAACTATTCATCTAATATATATGTCACAAATACACACACTTTAGAAAGTCGATTTAGAGATAACTATAGAAAGCATAGATAGATAATAATATAGATGCAACTATAAGAACCTTTTTGTTGATAAATATAAAAATCAATTATATGTTGATATAAAATAATGACTGTTAAAGATGACAAAATGGGCTCGGCCTAGAGGGCCGACCTACTCCACCCGCCAAAACTTTTTTTCCTTATATTAATTGTCTAACAAACCATGCTGATATAAAATGTTGACAGTTAGAGATGACAAAATATGCTCGGTCTGAATCCGGTCCGACCAACCATGCCTGCCAACACGTTTTCCCCCCTTATATTTATTGTCTAAAAAACCCGTCTTTGTGTGGCTAAGATCATTGAATTTATTGTTGTAAAATTTCAGAAACAAGCATATAAAAAAATGAACAATTATTTTATGATAAATGAAAGTCCATCTCTAAGAAACACTAAAAGAAGTCGAGTCAAAGTACGTAATTTTTGAATGACTACGGGACAAGCTAATACAATGGTATTTGCATTTCATATCAAATGATCAAATAAGATGCCTTTGCAAAGTTTGGTGGACCGTAAACAATCACTAAGCCCACATGTATAGAACTTTATATATGGAGTAGAGTTTCATTTGAACTAACAAAAAATTTTAATTGTTATTGAGTATGAAATTAAGCTAATGAATAGTCTTTTGAATTACCACATTCAACTTCGATTATGAAGTGTTTCTTAAAATATTAAACATAATAACCCAAATATTTGTCAACTCTATATGTACAAAAAGTTGGAGTTAGGTACCTAATAGTATTTATTTAAATAAAATGCAGAGATATATTTTTACGATTTGCATTAACTTTTACAAGACAGACAAACTGATTTCTTTTTTCCCCATGCATCACACGAGTAATACTTAATTTTGAAGGAGTTTTTTTATGTAGGGTGCAGATTTGGAACATTATCCAGGAGAACTTAACGTTCTTAAAGAAAAGTCCATGTTATTTCAGGTCAATGCAAAAATAATAATTTGGAGTCATATAATGAGCCAAGATATCAAGTTTCAAGAGTTTAAAGCAGCGAAGCTATTGTCACCTCATTCCTTAAGTCTTTGGTGGACCTGGATGTATGTTGTTGTTTTTTAAAATTTTATCATTGTGGGTTCTTTATATTGTTACAAATGCTTAGAATGTGTATTGATTTGATGTTGTTTAGAAACATTTGTTCCAATGTAAGCAAAAAATATGACTCATACATGACTATTTGATTAAGTTGCTTTCAAATCCCTTTCAGACGTCGTTTTTTGGGTTCTAAAAAAAATTAACCCAATTTTATTTTTGCTGAGACTATTACTTCTGGGTGTTAACATATTAGCGTAATCTATTTAATGAGTATTTGCATTATGTATCGTAGGCATAAATATGATGGTAGAAGACGATGTCCCTGGTAATGCATAATCATAGGAAATCACATTGTTATGGACCTGAGTGAGGCCCATGTCCATGGGAGGCCCAGGTAACGCAAGCCCAAAGGTAAACTCTATAAGTAAGAGCTAAAGACCACAGGTATGGCTGATCTCTTTTAACCCTATTTATGCAATCACACAGTGCACACACACCCCTTTGGCCAAGGCCGTTATATCGTGTGTCGTGATTCGCTGCCCCAAGATACCTAATTCATAGGTATCTAGAGAGAAAACATTAGATCCAACATCAATCATCTAACCTCCGGTTAGACATCTCTGTCTCAGGCAGAACATTGGTGTTGTATGTGGGGAACCACTACGTGGTAAATAGCCATTGTTTAAAATGGTGAGGACAACTAGAAGCAGTTACCGGCAGCCCTCAAGGTCGAATCCCAGACACCAACCAATCCCCCCAATCAGGGAGGATCCGTCAGGGCAAGACGTCCTTCAAGACCATCAACAGCTAGACACCAACGTTGTGCACATCAGTGATGTGCACTCTGATTCAGCATAAACTCCAGCGGTTAACCCTGATGCCCCGTATGTGGAGGGATTACAACCGATTGAAGGGCAGGTTGCAGGCGCTAGACAGATGCCAAATGGCGCAGCCAATGATCCGCGGGTAACAGATTTGGCTGTCGCTGCGGTACTTCGAAGAATGGAGGAGATGGAGAGAAGGAATAAGCTCCAAAGACAAGAGGATGCTAGGAAAATTCGAGAATTGGAAACTCGGCTATGGCGAGTCTTCAACCTGAATCTCGCACGAGCTATAACGCAAGTCATGACTGACTTAAGGATCACGAATCCTCAACAGAACAATAATAACCAAGGGAGAACCCGGAGTCAAGAGAGAAACACTGATAGCCGAGCTCATAGGGTCGTTGATAACCCTACTCGCAATCAAGAAACACGGCATGAAGGCAGCTGAGATGGAGGAAGGGGTACAACAAGGAAAATGGAGGATCTCCTGCCCCTAAGCGACAGGCAGCACGTCCGGAACCCAAATGATGTGTCCGGGGTGTATATGAGAAAGTACAACAGGGGGCAGTACAATGATAGTCCTTTTGTGGATGAGATTGTCGATGCACCATTCCCAGAGAATCTGAACTTATCAGAACTCCTCAAGTACGATGGAACGCAAGATCCCCAAGTACACTTGGATGCCTTTGATACGGCCATGTGCATTAAGGGGATAGATGAACATTTGATCACGAGACTCTTTGCAACTACGTTGACAGGAGCGGCTCAAACGTGGTTTTCATCATTGCCAGCGGGGTCCATCAGATCTTTTGAAGAGTTCGACGGAAGATTTCTGTTGAATTTTTCCATTAGCAAGAAACAACCAAAGTCAGAATTCGCGCTGTGGAAAATAAGGCAGCAACCCAGTGAAACCTTACAAAAATACTTGGATCGATTTAAAGTGGCAGCGTTGCAAGTTCCAGGATTGTCTGAAAATGTCCATCTGCACCTGGTAATAGCAGGGTTGCATGGTTCCTCTAGGTTGGCCAAATCAATATACAAAGACCCGGTTCGAACGCTGGTAGAGTTCACAGCTCGATCAAAGAAGTATCTAAAGCTGGAACAGATGGAAATTAAGAACATGGATCAGAAGCCCCACCATAACTTGATAGAGAAGTCCGGAAATCGAAGACAAAATGATTTCCGAGGTAAAAGACAAGACGAAAGAACCCCAATCAGTGGAAGGTTCGAAAAGTATGCGCCCTTGAATTCACCTAGGTCACAAATCTGGAAGGAGGTGGCCTCCATCAAGATGAAAAAGGTTGATAGACCTCGACCTTTGTTGAATCAAGCCGGGTTAGACCAATCTCGATATTGTGCCTTTCACGACGGCCCTGGGCATACTACAGATGAATGCTGGGACTTGAGAGATGCAATTGAGAGATACATCAGGGATGGCAAATTGTGTTAGTATCTGATAAGGACTCAAGGATGGAGGAACAATAGAAAAAGGAGAGGTCGGCCTATGAGTCCGACGAAAGAAAAGAGATTGAAGGAAGATAGTTGGGGTATGAAGCCGACTAAGGAAGAAGATGAGTTTGTGGAACCAGTGTTTGAATGCAATGTGATTAATGGAGCTTTTGGCGGAGGAGGTGATACCATGAATGCTAGAAGGAAATATTTAAGAGAAGTACTTTCGATTCGGAAGCGACCTAAGTTCAAAGAAGAAGCCAAACCAGAGCCGCCATTATTATACTTCACTAGGAAAGAACTGGAGGATATGATGTCGGGGCATGTTGATGGGTTGGTCATTACGGGGACGTTAGTCAATTGCAAAGTCAAGAAGATCTTTGTAGACAATGGCAGTTGTGCCGACATAATTCTATGACAGGCATTTAAAAAGATGAACTAGATGAAGAAGACCTGAAGCCCTGCAACACTGCCCTGATTGCGTTCAATGGCCGTAATACCCTTCCTAAAGGGTCTATTGATCTTAGGTTTATCTTAGGTGCAAAGGAGGTATACAAATCTGAAAGGGTACAGTTCATTGTTGCCGACTTCCCCTCGGAGTATAATGTGATACTAGGAAGACCAACTATCCACAATTGGGATATGTTGGTTTCCACCAAGCATCAAAAAATTAAGGTGATTGGTAAACAAAGCACAGTGATCACCATTGCAGGAGACCAGAAAGAGTCTCGAGATTGTTATTTCAAATCGGTTAGAGCGGTGGAAAGTGGTCCCAAAACTTTGACCGAGATAAAAAAAAGCAACAACAGCCAAGTCGGTCCAAACCAGAAAAGGAAAAGCATCAGTTAACATGGTGGAATTGGACATGAGGGATGATACCCAGATGCCAAGGCCAGAACCCGACGGAGAGCTAGTGGAAGTAACCATCGGAGAGCAAGGGAAAACTATGAAGATCGGCAAAGGATTGACGGAGGATGTAAAAGATCAGCTCATCACTTGCTTAAGGAATAGCAAGGACGTCTTTGCTTGGAAGTCGACAAAAATTCTTGGGGTAAACCCTGTTTTCTGTTGTCACAAATTAGCAGTGTATCCAGGACCTAAACCGATAGCTTAGAAGAAGAGGGAACTTAGCCCAGAACATCGGCAAGTGTTGGAGGATCATGTTAAGGAGCTTTTAGAAGCAGGTTTCATCCGGGAAATACAATACACCACCTGGCTATCCAATGTGGTGATGGTTAAAAAGCCAAATGGGAAGTGAAGAGTATGCACAGATTACACCGACCTGAATAAGGTATGTCCTAAGGACGCGTACCCTATGCCTAACATAGACCAACTGGTTGATAGCTCCTCAGGGTTCCAGATGTTGTCCTTCATGGATACCTACTCGGGTTATAATCAAATCCCATTGCACCCGGATGATCAGGAAAAAACAGCGTTCATTTTATAGAAAGCAAATTATTGTTACAATGTAATGCCTTTTGGGTTAAAAAAACTCAGGAGCCACCTTCCAAATAATGATGAACCAGGTGTTTGCAGACCAGCTTGGCAAAAGTGTTGAAGTTTATATAGATGACATGATAGTCAAGTGATAACTCTCCCAAATGAGAGTTAAATTGTTATTTTAATGATGAATTTGTTGCATAAATTCCTTATAAGTTGACCTTTTTGCATGATAATTGAGCTAATTATTATATATTTATGATTAAGTGCTTTGAGATAACTAAGTATGGAAAATAAGACAATATCCCTTGATTTTGAGTAAGAAAATATGACTTGTTGAATGTTTGTCTTCGCAGGGAAAATTGACGTAGGAATGCTGTAGCAGAGAAGTTGACGAAGTAATGATATAACAAGCGCTACAGCATGACAGCGTTGACAAAGGAACAACCGAACTTTTGAAATTCAAAAGTTAGTTATTCTCCAACCATACACCAGCAAGCAAATGAAGTTCCTGAAGATTTAATCCAGAAATCACAAGGGTCAAAGACAAATTCAAAGATTGAATCTAATCCGAAAAACCCAAAGAACAAGGACAACAACCTTGGTTCGGTCAACAACATTGGCACAAGAAATCCAAGAAGATAAAGATCTTATCCAAATAAGTGCCAACAAATCCGAAAATCCCAAGGAACAAGGACAACAAACTCAGCTCATAATCGGTCAACAACAATATTGGCACAAGAAATCCAAGAAGATCAAGATCTTATCCAAGCAAGTGCCAACAGCCCAAGAATCTAGGGATACGATAAGGCTGCAGCAACAAGATTCATGGATTTTCACTCCTAACCGTAAAGCCCAATTATCCAACCATTGTCCTATTTAAAGAAGAGTTCCCCCACGGATTAGAAAAAACAGTTTTTTTGGGGGGAGGGGGAGAGAAGCGAGAGAGAGGTCAGAAAGGCAAGAAAGAAGGGAGGGGAAGAATGTAGTACCCCTCCCACGTTTTAGAGAGAGAAAGTAAGGTTCTTGGAGGAGGAAAAGCTGCTGGAGCATTGCTGGAGCAAAGCAGTGACGACATTTTTCTACAGCATTCGTTTTCATCTTCTTTTCTGTTTTCCAATGAGTTCTTTCTTTCTTTTCTCTGTTTTATTTAATTCCATTATGCGCTAAATTGCTCTATAGGTTATGTGATAAAGTACCTATGCTGTAACATTGAGATGTATGCCTAAACTTTGTTTTTATTAATGTTTAATTAGTTTTTCAACGAGTTTTCTTATTCTTATTCATGTATGCATGTCGAGAGATACATATGTGATATTGAGGAGGTTGGGGCCGAGAGGTTTCCAAATCCAGACCCTTGTTAAATTGTGTGGATTAATTAGGTCAAAGTTAACTTGATTAAGTTGTGGGTAGAGAGATCATTCACATCACATAACCTTTGAACTTGAACTTTAACAATTCAGTAATTAGTTTGGTCATAGAGATGTGGGAATTAGTTATTGGGTATATATGTTAGGTTGGCCAAAAGCCCCAGCATACTTTAGTGTTCGGTTACTAATTAAGCATTGATATATCATCGTTATAGCATCGTTTCAATATTGCTGTATCGGGGAAATTGAACATGACCTATACCTCATCCATCATTTTAATACCTTATAATTAGTTTATTGTTTTCTTAGTTTAATTACCTTTTATATTACAAACTCAACCATAAAAATTAATAGTTTTCTAGTTTCTTTACTTAAATAATCATTGCTTTATAAATCATCTCTGTGGGAACGATACTTGGACTCACACATCCCTTTATTACTTGTGACACGTGCACTTGCGTATTTGTGTGATTGATTTAATTGATTGCAAATTGCACAACATCAAGTCACTAGTTTCAAAGGTGCATATTGAAGATTTAGAGCAAACCTTCGAGAAGTTAATGTGGCATATCATTCGTTTGAATCCGGCAAAATATGCTTTTGGGGTCTTTGCGGGAAAGTTTCTTGGTTTTATGCTGACTCACAGAGGCATTGAAGCTAATCCAGACAAGTGCAGAGCTGTGCTAGAAATGAAGGCTCCTGCGAGCAAGAAAGAGATACAGCAATTAACGGGAAGATTAGCCTCATTTACTAGATTTCTACCCCGGTCTGCAAAAACGACATTACCATTCTTCAGGTTACTTAGAAAGGAGGTGCAATATGGGTGGACTTCGGAATGTGAAGCCGCGTTCCAAGAGATAAAGAGGCAACTAGCTTCCCCTCCAGTTTTAACAAAACCAAGAGAAAAAGAAACGTTAATAATGTATCTCTCTGTGGGTGACGTTGTTGTTAGTTCGGTCCTAGTACAAGAAAATTAAGAAAGGAAACAACCGATTTACTTTGTAAGTCGGCTCTTACAAGGAGCGGAGCTTAGATATCAAAAGTTAGAAAAAGTGGCTTTTGCCTTACTAATCTCGGCTAGAAGGCTCAGAGCATATTTCCAAGGACACGCAATTTTTGTCAAATCGAATTTGCCAATTCGGCAGGTCCTTCACAAGCCTGACTTAGCAGGAAGAATGATGAGATGGGCTGTCGAGCTATCATAATTTGACATAACCTTTGAAAGTCGAAAAGCAATCAAATCTCAAGCACTGGCAGATTTTGTCAGGGAGCTCACCTCAATCCAAACTGAGAGCTCGCATAGCCCAGATACTTGGAAAGTATATATAGGCGGCTCGTCCAATTCAAAGGGAAGTGGAGCCGGGATCATCATCGAGAGCCCCGAAGGTATCTCGGTGGAATATTCAATGCAAATGGGTTTTGAAACATCGAACAACCAGACAGAGAGGCTTTCATAGCTAGCCTTAGCAAGCTAAGGAACTCGGAGCCCGAAAGCTACAGATCTTTAGTGATTCTCAATTGATTACTTCCCAAATTATAGGGAATTACCAAGCAAAGGGGCCATTGCTAACGAAATATCTAGACACCGCCAGACAATTAATGGTGGAGTTTGAAAAGGTGGATATAGGTCATATTCCTAAGAATGAAAATAGCAGGGCTGATATATTATCCAAGTTAGCAAGCACCAAAGGAAGAGGGAATCATAGAAAGGTGATTGAGCAAAGCATCCCAGAGTCCACGTGTGTGATGCAAATAACAGAGGTAGATTATTGGCGTGGGGCCATCGTAGGTTATCTGGAAAATAGAACACTACCGTCGACAAAAGAGGAGGCCAGAAAGATAATCAGAGATGTTGCGTTGTATACCATGGTTGAAGGGCAGCTGTACAAAAAAGGATTTATTCACCTCTGTTGAAATGTCTGAGTTCAGATAGGGCGCAATATGTCGTATCTGAAATCCATGAGGGGATAAATGGCCAGCATGTCGGAGGCAAGGCCTTAGCCCGAAAAGCAGTCAGATCTGGCTATTTTTGGCCATCAATGAATAAGGATGCCCGGGAGCATGTTCAAAAATGTGATCAATACTAGAAGCATGGGAAGAGCCTCCTAGCTCCCCCATAAGAGTTAAATTTAATTACGGCTCCATGACCATTTTTTAAATGGGGAATAGACCTTTTAGGCCTGTTCGCTAC